AGGGTTTTCTCAGTGTAGGTTTGGAGCCTGCCCTGAAACTTACAGGAATCTGCCTGCCTCTGCCTCCCAAATGCTGAGATTAAGGGCATGCACTACTACTGCCTGGACATTTTCTGTATTTCTAATTTAAGTTTTGTAAGTAGAACAGAGTGCTTTTTTACTGATAAATAGGGAGTAAAGTGTTTGCTTCCCAGAAGCTTGGCTAAGTGCTATGCACTTGTAGGATTACAGCTTCCTAATATAACATGTTAGAGATTGACAACTGCTGCCAAGTTCTTGGTGAGTGCCTCCCATTGTGTTAAGCACTTAAGACACATTAAATGTTACTGCTTGTTATCTAAGTAAGCGATAAGTGCTGAACCTGAATTCCTGATTTGAAAACAATTTTGTTACAAAGGTCAACAGAGGTTCTATAATGTCAGTCAGTCTTTAAACAGTGGAATGCATGAACATATTTAAACAAGTAATATAACTTTCAATAATAATACCATCATTCTGATATAAAATTTTTCCCATTGGGCTAAATTTTAAATTGAAAAATCATTTATTAACTATGAAAGTCATTGTCATGTGGTGTTGATAAATGCCTTTAATCCTCCTAGCAGATGGGGGCAAAAGCAGGTGAATCTCTTGAGTTCTAGGCCAGAGTGAGTTCTGGAATATCCAAGGCTATAAAGAGAGACTCTGTCTTGAAAGCCCACCCCTTCAAAAAAAAAAAAGTCATCCCCCTACCCCTCCAACAAGTAATAGTGTAAGAAGTAGCCTGGTATGGTGGCACATGCCCTAAATCCCAGGACGAGGGAGTTGAAGGGTCTCTGTGTGTTCAACGCCAGCCTTGTCTGCATATGAAGTTCTAGGTTATCTAAAGGCTATACAGTTTAGATCCAGTCCCAAAAGTTGTTTCTGTTTGTTTTCTTACCGACAGGTTGATAAATTACTAATGGTGAATGTGATCTTTGGAATCTCTAATTAGACATGATCAACTGTTAATCTAGCTTAGTGAGGTTAGGGGCTGTGTTTGTCACTATTATCTCCACTGCCAGCACGGTGCTTTTAACATAACATGAAACATTGCCTTTTAAAAGTGGAATTGACACAGTAGTAAGCACTGAGTTTATTTCATGTGGGGAATAGTATCCTGTTAGTCTATAATACAAGTCATTTCATTGTAAAGTTTTGTATCAAGTTGAAAAAGACTAGAGGGAGAGAGAGATTAAGATGTACTTCAGAGTAAGAAGAAAAAGTAGTCCAATATTTACAGAAAAGCAAGTAAATATATATTTAAGGGAAAACTTAATAGAAGAAGCTCATGTTTGTGTCAGAGTTGGAGGTAATAATGGTTGAGTAGATTGGGGGTTGATGGGCTTATTGAGGGTGAGTGCCAGAGTGAAGAAATAGGGCATTCTGAACTTGATAATTTCCATATTTCACAATTTTTTTTAATGGGTAAGAGAAAATAATTGCCTCATTCAGGCTATAGTAACAGTACTGTCTTAAGTTTGAATTTCTTTTTTTGGGGGGCGGGGGTTCAAGACAGGGTTTCTCTGTGTAGCTTTGGAGTCTATCCTAGCGCTCGCTCTGGAGACCAGGCTGGCCTCGAACTCACAGAGATCCACCTGCCTCTGTCTCCCGAGTGCTGGGATTAAAGGCGTGAGCCACCAACGCCTGGCCCTTAAGTTTGAATTTCTAAAGAACACTGCATGTACTCTTTAATCCAGGCAGGACAATTGCTGTTGTTGTTAGTGTTATTTTATTTGATTTTGTTGTCTTAGCTACTCCCTTGGAACTCAAGATCCTCCCGTCTCAGATGCCTGAGTGCTGGGATGTGCCACTCCATCTTAATGCTGAGATTCTAATCTATTATTTTGTGTAAATAAACTTTTAGGTTATGAGCACTTAGGTAGCTGTGTATCCCCTTCCCCAACTTTTTCATGTGTGTCAGTGCTTTTGTCTTCGTGCTCGTGCATGCGTGCATGCACACATGCCTGTGCTCACATAAGCCAGAAGAGGGTATTAGATGTCCTGGAACTGCAGTTACAGACAGTCCTGAGCTGCCATGTTAGTGCTTGGAACTGAACTCAAGTGTTCTCTGTAAGAACAGTGAGTGTTCTTAACTACTGAGCCATCTCTCAAGCTCTGATACCTGATCTTTTGAAACATTATTAGTATTTAGAACATTGAAAACTGGTCCTTTTCTTCTGAAATCTTTATCACATTTTATGGACTTGTGATTTAGGGTCCTGAATAGATGGTCTGCTTAGTGAATCAAGTATTCACTTGCAAACATAATGCCAAGTAAAGAAGCATGCATCCGTAATTCCAGTTCATCTTTGGTAGGTAGGGAGGAAAACCAGGAATCCGGAGAAATTCTCAGGCCAGATAGCCTGGTGTACACAGCAGTGGAAACCTAGAGACGCTGCTAAAGGCAAGATATGGAAGGTTATTCCCTAACCTTCACATGTATGTCTGCACCCAAACACAAACATGTATATACATACCATACATACTTTTAAAAGAGTAAGATGACAGGTGAGTTCACTTATCAGGTAAAAATGCTTGTCATGCAAGTCTGGTAACCTATGTTTGATCTTGGCACTCATGCGAAGGTACAGGTGAAGAGAATGCCACAAAACTGTCCTATCTCCTCACATATACATGGCATGATGCATCTTCATATAAATATAATAAGTTGATGGTTTAGCATTGTTTGTTGGAGCATATTGTGTATTTTTCCCGAATATACAGCTCCCTATTCTTAAAAACAGAGGCCTCAAATTATTATTGTAATACTCACATATCATTTGTAAAACACATTTGGAACCTGTTTCAGTGCTGAAATTTTGTAGTGGTGATAAATGCTACAAAAGGAGATTGTGGAAAGACACTGTGGTGGTAATAAAGTCATGGAAGCACGTTCTTGAAATGAGCAGACCACTCAGGAGTGAAGCGCCCTCCCCCACTTTTACTTTTGGTTTCTACCAAAATAAAAGATTGCCCGTGATCAAAGAATTCAAAGATTTCTTTCTAAATAGTTCATATGTATCATGCCTGACAAAAAGCAAAAGAGCTCATTTTAGCTTATAGTTCCAGGTTACAGACTTAGTATTGTGGGAAAGTTAAGATGGGAACTTGTGATCACTAGTCAGAGAGAAATTAATGCTTGTTTAGCTTGGGTTCTCCACCTCAGACATAGTTCAGGACTCCTTGTCTAGGAAATTGTGCTATTCAAAGTGAGCTGGGCCTTCCCACATTATTTAACACAGTCCCACAGACAGGCCCACAGGGGAACCAAATAAAGACTATCCATTATCAAGACTTTCTTCCCCAGTGATCCTAGTTTATGACAAGTTGGGCATAATAATGCCTGTTCTTCTCAGATACTTGTATGAATATTGATTTTCCCCTTATCTACCAAATACTAGCTTATGATTTTTTGTTCTTGCAGATCTGTTTTGTCTTCTCAGATGGACTTTGTCACGAATGTCCCCCATTTCTATCCTTAAATTGCTAGCAATTTCTTTGCTAATTCCCCTTTCCCCCCTTATCCACAGAAATTTCCATGCATGATGGAGCATTGCCAACAACTAGTAAGTTGTCCAACTGGGTTAGTAACCTGGGCTTTCTGACTCGTGGTTCAGTGCCTTATATAATATAATATAATATAATATAATATAATATAATATACCATCTTTGAAGATCTAAATTTTATTTTCCAAAATGCATTTTTATTGTGTATATTTTTTCTCTTATGATGATGCCTTTGCATACTTTGTCTTGTGTTCAGGATATGTATTAGTCAAATATTGCAAACTTATTTGGTCTTTTAATATAGTACTTATGTTGCAGAATTGTGACCTCTGCCCTTGGTGACATGTTATTTTCAGTATTTGGTTGCCATTAGTCTTAATGTAAATATAAGTTTTCAGTATTTGTATATTAGCATTAGGTAGCTTTATGTTTTTGACTTAATGTATGTATTGAAATTATCCTGAAGTTTAAGAAGTGGAAATAAACGTTTGATAGGGTTAGAATATGTAATGAGTTTTGTTTTATAGCTTGATTGTGCTATAAGGTTGATTATTACATCCTGTAAGACTTACTTTTAGCAAGGTGCTATATAGATGAATAGGGAGATACTATGTAGATGTCTTTTTAAAAGGAATTATCAAAAATACATTATACTAAAAAAAGTGTCACCATTGTGATGATGCACCTAATATATTATCTCAGTTTACTAGGCAATATGATTATAAGTAAAATGTAATATTTGGGGAGTTATGCTATGATGAGATGAATAAAGCTTTCAGTTTTAATAATTCAAGCAGAAAATACTAAGATTTTCGTAAAACAGATTCAGCCTATGCCTGTGTATTTCTTTTGTGTCTTTGAGAATGATCTTAACCTGACATCCTTTTTTCCTTACTTAAAAGCTTTCTCAGAGTTGCTGAATGCAATACACAATGGTAAGTTTTATTAGAATCTTCTTTGGAGGTTCACTTCTCACAAAAGTTGCCATTTGTCAAGAAGCTCAACTGAAAGTTAGGATAGTCTATTGATGAGATGAAATATGGTGCTCTGGTGAGTCTGTTCATTCTTCCTCAAGGCCTATAGGAGGAGGATAGATAGGTTACCACAGCTCATAAGTCTGGCTTTTATGGTTTCTTCTGAGTTTCTGAAAGTCGTCTATGCTTGCAAATAATCTACTCCAGAAATCTTTGTTACTTACTAACACAATGTGGAATGTGATTATTGTTTTTTTTTTCAGATCTTTTAATTTTCATACTCTTATATTTCATGTAGTGAATAAGTGGAAAGTAGTATTTTAAATTGTACCTAATTTTGGATGATTTTCACAGTGGGGTTGCATCTTCTGCTTTGGATTCTTTATTTTTCACGTTAACAATGTGATTATGTTGGTCATTTGTAGAGCATGTGAAGATTTCTTCAGTTTCCCCAAGAACTTTCTGTAATCCTTTTATATTCAAAAATTTAAAAATTACATTTATTTATTTGTTTGTTTCTTTGTTTTTGTGTGTGGATGTGTGGATGTTCCGAGCAGTCCATTCTCTTCTTGTACCACAAGTTCTCTGGATTGAATCAGGTTGTCAGGTTTGGTGAGTGTTTTTACCTGCGGAGCCCTCTTGCTGGCCTGAAAATTTCTTTCCAGTATACCATCTTTATTGATTTTTTTTGTTTCAGTGATTAATTAATTATGCTAGTTTACTTGAGACTATGATTTCAAGAAAATTTCTAGTAGATTTTCTTTAGCTTTGAATTTGTTCATGTAACAGATTTGCATTATTTATAGGTTATAATGTCAGATGTTTACAGAAGACAGTAAACAAGAGACAAGTGGCATAATGAGCCTCGTTGCAGTGAGGGTAGAGGTGGACCATGTGGGAAACTCAGAAGTATTACTTATGAAAAAAAGCATTTATTTACAGGGTTTTGTTTTTGTTTGTGCAGTGCTAGATATTGAATCCAAGGCTGTGTGCATGGTAGAGAAGTTTTCTGCCATGGAATTACACCAGCTTCTGGTTTAACTTTCACTTTCCTATACAGACTGTACTTGCACAGATTTAGGAAATGAACAACTGTAGATAATAGAAGTAGTAATGATAGAAAAAATGATTGAAAGCTTTTCTTGAGAATAGGTTAAACTTTTGAACATTTCACAGGTTTTTTGGGTGATGGGGGAGTATAAAAGCTGAAAAACCTTAGCAGAGTTTTCAAATTTTGTATTTGTACATGTACATTAATTGCTGGAATAAAAATTTAAGCCCAGGTATACTTAAGTAAAGTAGATATCACAGGGAGTAATGTTGATGGACTGTCACAAAGACCCTTTTAGGCTGCATTTATTTGATAGGAAAACTTTTTTTTTTTTTTTTTTTTTTTTTTTACTCTGCAGGTAAATAAATGTCATCAGGTTAATATCATAAATGTGAACTTTCTTTAAAATTTTGGGTTTTAGCAGAGTGAGAGGGGATTCTTACTCATGTTTCCTTCATCCTGTATTACAGAGTAAATAAAGAAGCGAATGGACCTTTTTGGGGGTTAGGGGGTTGTAAAGGCAAATGAAGGATTGATTTCCAGTAAATGATACTTAGTCTGATGATTTTTCCTTTTTGTCCGAGTATAGACTTTTTTCTCTCTTAAAGGTGGCTCAGCTGTTAAGAGCTCTCTGCCCGCTCTTCCAAAGGTCCTAAGTTCAATTCCCAGCAACCATCAGTAATGAGATTTGGTGCCCTCTTCTGGCCTCAGGCATTCATGCAGGGAGAACACTATATCCTCAATCAATCAATCAATCAATCTTTTTTAAAAATGTACTTTAGGTCGGGCATTGGTAGCGCATACCTTTAATCACAGAACTTGAGAGGCAGAGGTAGGCGGATCTATGTGAGTTCAAGACCAGCCTGGACTACAAGACAGGACAGCCTCCAAAGCCAGAGAGAAACCCTGTATTGAAAAACAAAAACAAAACAAACAAAAAAACCAACTTTAAACCTTACAGATTTTTTTAAAATGTTTCTGTCAATATAATAATTTAAAGTCTTGACTATTTTGTATATTGTTTAATATAAAAGTCAGTTAACTTTACTTCCTCAGACATTTTATTTCCTTTTTATTTAGATGAGAGAAAGAGAGAGAGAGAGAGAGAGAGAGAGAGAGAGAGAGAGAGAGCGAGAGAGAGAGTGTGTGTGTGTATGTTGTATGTATGTACGTACTTACATACATGATTGGGAGTGTACTGTATATGGAGATCAGAGGACAACTTTGTGGAGTTGCTTCCTTCTATCCACTGTTACGTAGGTTCTAGAGATGAATATTAAGTTTGTGCTTCAAATGCCTTTATCCACTGAGTCATTTTACTGTCTCCCAACTTGTGTGCGTGCGTGCGTGCGTGCGTGCCTGCCTGCCTGCCTGCCTGCCTGCCTGCCTGCCTGTCTGCCTGCCTTTGTGAATGTGCACACATTGTAGGTGTGTATACCTGTTTGTATTTGTTTTTGATGGAAACTTTCAGGCTCCTTTCTTAGAGCCTTCTGATAAGTATATACTAAGTCCTCTGCTGTGTATACCAGGAATACATTTTCTTTCTCACCTGTATTTTAATCTTGAAGTTGAGTAATGTTCAGTTTTTCTCAATGTTATTTGCTCTCCCTAGAGTCCTTTCTCTCCAGCATTGAAGTTCTGTAGTCATTAAGCAACACCGTATGTCTCCTCTTTCCAGTTTTGTAAGATAGAATTGACAGACTCACACATGCACCACAGATAAACTTTTAGTTTTTCATCATTACAGAGTGTTAGCCATTTTCTATAGAAGACACCCTTTATAAGGTTGAGGAAATTTGGTTACTGACTGAATCTCTTTGTTTTAGACCACTCAGAATTCCTGTTTTCTGTGTTACTTTTGCCTGTGTATTTAGTGACAATTCTATTTCAGCTGCACTAAATACTTGGCATATATTTTCATTTCCTTTTATTTTTATAGGTATAGCACTAAACATCCTACCACTCTCATTCCACACAATCCCCTTTGAATCTCCCCTTTTTCTTTTTACTTATTTTAATTAATCAATCAATTTATATTGATACAGGATCTCATGTAGTCTCTAGCTAAGAATGACTTTCATACCATAATTCTGCTTCTACCCTCCAAATTCTGAAGTTGTAGTTGTGGGGCTATGTATCTGGCTTCTGTTTTCATTATCTTTAATGTTCATTATTTCCTTCTTTTGGGGCTATCATGGAACTTGCTTTATAAACTAGGCTGGCCTCGTCCTCAGAGATCCACCTCCCTCTGCCTCCCAGAGTGCTGGGATCAAAGGTGTATGCCACCATCTCCTGGCTGCTTCCTTCTTAATGATGCCTTCTGCATATGTGTTGAGAGAAGGAAGTATTGGATGTCTTGTGTTGTAAGGTGTATTAAATCATTAATTTTTAGCTAATATCTTTCTAGATTGTTAGAGAGTGAACATGAGTGTTCTGATTTACATAATGGAATCAGTACCTAAAATCCTTAGTTTTCACATATGGACAACACATCCTCAGTGCCAGAAACTGTAAAATAGTCTTTCTCAAGACTATTTCTCAAGACTTTCTCTCCTCCCCCATTTGATAAATAACACATTAAGTTGTTTCCATATAGAAGATATTGTTAGTTGCTTTGGGAAAATGCCTGGTATAAATTGATCCTGCTTTTGGGGAATACCCTCTAAACAACAGGTAAATATGTTTTTAAACAATGAGCGCTGTTCCGAGCGCTTTTCCCATCAGGCTGGTTTTGCAGCTGCCTTGTCCCAAATGAACATTCAGATTAATGTTAATTGTGAAACTGTTGGCTGTTGACTAGGGCTTCTTACTGGCTAGCTCTGTCTTAATTATTAACTCATTTCTATTAATCTAAGTATGTCTCCATGGGTTTCTCTTACTGAAAAACACCTCACTCACATCATTTCATCCCAGGATCACCTGGTGACGGCTCTGTGCCTACACTTCCCAGAATCCTCCACATCTCCTAGACGCACCTGTCTTGCTGCCCTGCTGGCCACAGTGTTTTATTCATCAACCAATAAGAGAAACATATTTACAGACTGACATCTCTCATCATCAAGTGACATAATCACATCCTTGCCTTCAGTTCATAAGAAATATAGTTAGTAGTATAGGAGTAAATGAAAATTACCTTTGAAGCAATAAGATGTGCTGAAAATGTAGCATTTGACCTGTTTACTTAAGAGTGTATAGGAGTTAGCTATTTGGTGTAGTCATCAGAGCCTGATTAGCACAAGTAGTTGTCACACTGAAGTGTGGCTGTGCATGCTATGTGTGCTACTTTCCTATTGTTTGGTAAAAAAATCATAGCCAGAAAGCAGCTTGGGGGGATGGGAGGGGGAGAGGAAATGACTTATTTCAGTTAATAACTCTCAAGTTGTAAGTCACATTCTCTCATCCAGGAAAGTCAGTGCAGGCACTCAAGATAGGAAACTAGAAGCAGGAAGTGATAGAGACCATGAAGGAGCTCTGCTTACTGGCTTGCACCTCATGGCTTGCTCAGCCCATTTTTAAAGCATCTCGGCCTGTCAGCCTAGGGGTGGCCCCACCTGCAGTGAGCTGGACATTCCCACATTCAATCAAGAACACACACCATAGGTTTGCCCAAAAGCCAGTCCGCTAAGAACGTTTCTCAATTGAAGTTTTCTCTTCCCAGATGACTCCAGCTTTAGTCAAGTCGATAAATTAGCCAACACACAGACTGTGCAAGGTGACAGTAATAACTGATATTTGATTCATAACATTAAAAAATAGCCTTAGCTTTTTCGTCAGTGGTTTTTTGAGTTGGGAAAAACCTATAGTACATTTGTTATAGGAAGGTTCATTTGATGATTGCATAAAAGAATTGAAAAAAGTTAATACTGAGACAGAAACGAAATTGAACGTTGTTATAATATAGCCAGATATT